CTACGCATGGAACGCCTGGGACCAGGACCCCCCTTTTGGCGACCAAAACGCTTGCATTTTATGACTCGGGCTTTCCTGCGGAAGCCCGAGTAATTATTTTCTTGACACCGACTGACACACAAATAAAGAGCACGACTCAGGATCACGTGCGAGGCTAAAGTTCAAGTTGTGGTTTCCCTTGGGAGTTAGTGAGTTTTGTTCGCCCTAGTGCAGTGAGTTCGGTTCCTGTCGGGGACTCAAATTTTTTTTCTTTGTCCTACGCTCGTGTCATGTCGATCAATTCACCTTTCGCAGGGGGTGACCCGAAAATATTGACCCCCGGTCCGCGGACCCCCACTACGGACCGGGTCCGCGGACTACCAATGGACCGGTCCACGGACTACCCTTACGGACCCACTCTACGGACCAACCCCCAAAATAGAATAAAAATAATAAATAAATATTTCAGTTACTGGTTGTCTAATAGATTACTCGTGACGGCGAAATTTCGAACGTTACCTTGTGCAAATGTAACCGACCTGAATTCAGGCTCGAGTGCAATTTATATCATTACACATTGCCATTTCCTTTGCTGTGGTCATAAAGTATATGAAAGACGCGTACGGGAAAGCCTCCAGTAAGCCTCGAAATTTGTGCTCTTTCCCCTCTGCCATTTTGTTCAGCCCATTCTCCCGTGGGTCCATGAACTCGTTCCAGGCTTCACAATTTGCTCAGCGGAATAATAGATACAAACAAGAATAAACGGCCTAAAAATATATCTTCCATAGCCAGGTTGAGCCACGAATGGAAGGCAAGAACTTTCCTTCTTGTTACCATCGGCATTATCTCCTTACGCTGAAAACAGCTTTTAGGCATTTTTGGGGGGAGGGGGGTGGGGTGTTAAAAACGCAAGTCTGTTACATTTGCACAGTGTAACACTCGAAAAATCACCGACACGAGTCTGTGACTATTAGACAACCTATAAGTAAAATCTTTATTTATTATGTCTACACTATTTTAGGGTGGTCCGTAGAGGGGTCTGTAGGGGTAGTCCATGGACCGGTCCGTAGGGTAGTCCCCTGACCCGGTCCGTAGTGGGGGTCCGCGGACCGGGGGTCAGTGTTTTCGGGTTACCCTTTCACAGGGAACACACTTGTTTTTATTTCCATATGCCGGAAGTCCGTTCCAATAATCTTTTCGTAATCCAAGCTCTCTATAACTTCCGCCCACAAAATGTCGTTCGATTGCTACATTTTAATTTAGTCCCTAAACGACGCGAGCAACATAACTACCCTGTTACGTATTTTTAAGTTTTACTTTACAATTTTGGATGGGAATTAGGCAGGGAATATTAAACACGAACGGCTCTTTGTGTTCAAGATATGAGCTTTCTAGCTTCCGGCGCGCAGTCGAGGCTTGTTACGATTGACCTGTTAAAATTGCTCTAATGTCGTCAGCCGGGCGTAGTGGCGCACGCCTGTAATCCAGTTACTTGGAGGCTGGGGTCGTTGAATGGCTTGAGGGCGGGATTCCTGGGGGCGGCTGTTCTATGTGGATCGGGTGTCCGCGCTAAGTTTGGCGTCAATATGGTGAACACAGAGGAGTTTGGGTTCTCCAGGTTGGTTAAAGAGGAGCGAACCGGCCCAGGGTGGAAACACAGCAGGCAAATGCTCTCGCGTCAAACAGTAGTGGGATAGCACCTGTGAATAGACGGTCGTTCACAGCCCGGTCGAGATAGTCAAACTCGACCCTGTTTTTCTTTCTTTATTTATTTTCTTTTTCTACCTTATTCCATTGCGGATATTCAACGTTTACTTTGGCCTTACCATTGCCACGTTTAAAAAAAAAATGGCCAAAGAAATTACAAGCAACGTTGGCTGAAAATTGTGTTTTTGTAACTCGATATAGTTCACCATTGGCCTAAGCGTGATAGTGTTCATCGGCGGAGAGACACTGACACAGTTGTGCCCCTCATAGGAAAATACCCGGATGGACAGCACAGTCGACTCACGATAACTCGAACCCTCGCTAACTCGAACCTCCCGCTAACTCGAACCAAAATCGATTTCCCCTGGATTTCCGTCATACATTTACTGTAATTTTACCCCCGGTAACTCGACAGCTGGATAACTCGAACCTCCCGCTAACTCGAAGCAATTTTCGTTTCCTTCAGGTCATTTTCTATATGATTTTACCCTCGATAACTCGAACCATATCAAAACAAACACTGATATTAGGTTAATCATAAAAATTACAATTTCCTCGATTGTAATTGGTTTAAAAAACTCCTATTTTCCACTAATTCACTTGCCAAGTTGTTATCGGACAGTTTGTTATTGGACAGTTCAATAAGCCAATCACATCCAAAGTTGTAGTTTAAATCAACCAATCACATTCAAAGTTGTAGTTACATGCATGCATGCACGTGCTTGCTTTTGTGTTTTTGGTGCCTAATTGCTGGTAGGAGGCACAGTGGCCTTAGAATGTTTACATCTCCTTTGTAGGTATTTTAATGCAAATTTTCCCATTCTTTCATAACTTGGCTGTTCTTCTTTTCTCAGAAATTGTAACTTTTATGATTAATTGGTTATAAGACTTTGTGTCATTCAATTCGTTTAGGTAATCATACAGTTTCGAGTTCAATTTGGAATTAATTTGCTCAAGTGAGTTTTTCAAAAAGCTGAAATTGCACAAGCCACTTCGGCAAGTGTAATTTCTGCTTTTTGAAAAACTCACAAGTGCAAATTAATTCCAAATTGAACAAGAAAAACTGTATGATTACTTATTAATGATATAAACATGAAAAAAATTGCATGGAGGAAGTGCTGGAAGATCTTTCTTGAAGCCACTTTTTCTCATTCAAGAAAACTTTTTTCAAAGTTTTTGCACAAAATTTTTGTCATCATTTTACATGACATCATTGGCTTAGAAAATTTCTTATTGCCTTTCAGCCAATTAAAATCGAGAATTACGATGTGTAATTTGCACTGGTGTTACACTTTTTGCACTGTTACACTTGAACTGCACTGCTCTCAGCCAATCAGAATCGAGGAATTTTTTCATGTATATTATTAGGTCTGTAATCATACTCGTGATAAACAAATCAGACTCCCACTGCGTGGTCATACGATTTTGTTATCACTCTTATGATAACCGACCGAATTGGACTCCACTCAGTCCTATTACCATTACTAATACCTATTGATACACTTGCGTGAAAAGGAGCTCCATGAACAGTAAAGAGTCCTGNCCCCCCCCCCCCCCCAAGGGCAAAGGGGTGCTCCCAGAAAATTTGGTGTTGTACAGCCTACTTCCCAAAACCCTTACCCTCTTTAAGACCAAAATCTACAATTTTCCCTACCCTATTTATGACCTGACCAAAAATTCAATATCCTACTTAAGACCTGGCCCTTAAATCAATACCCTGTTTCAGTCCTGCCTCATAATTAGTTCAGATCAATGTTAAGGGCAATGTTTATATTCTTTTGTTAGCTAGGATAGCTTCTTCTTAAAAACATACCCAATTCAAGACTAGTGCAAAAACCATACTCCCATTTCTGACCACACCTACATAGCCCATATATAGATATCACATGCCTGCGCATGGATACAAATTTTATCTTTGCATGCTCGATATATTGAGTTGAACACGAGAAGATAAAATTTGTATCCACAAGGGGGCATTTAATATTCTGTTTATTATATAAACATACATATGACAACGTTTTTGACAATTTTCCGAAGATTTCCGACCACTTTCCGCAGATTTCTGAAATTTTTCAAAATTGTTTCTAAGGCCAGATGAACGCTTCTGAACATTTTCTGAACATTTCCAAACATTTCCTGCAGATTACCAAAGACGGCCAAAGAAGATCCGAAGATGTTTCGATCACACATCAACAAATTTGTGTAGTTAAAGGGACAAAAAAAATGTTATCAAAAAGGAATGACATCTTCACAATGTGAAAGATAAAAATAGTAACTTCACTGCATGTGATGAAGATATGACTTTTCAGTAAAAGGAAAAACCCTGGTATTTCACTGGTGCTTATATAATAAAAGGAAGTATCCCCAGGAGTCCAGACTCTTGATGATTATAGGGAACCTCTGAGCCTCTAAGAACCTATGGTACAAAAGGAAAATTGTTTTGAAATCCTGAAAATAAGGCCTCTTACATCTAACTTTAGAATGGTGTTTTCATAAGTGGTGATTGATCAATCTAACTTTTCGGTTTTCTTTTTCAATCTTCCTTGTTAACTTGAAGGACTTGAAGGTTGGTTATTTTCACTGATACCCACAGCAACAATTTGGTGTCAGCTGATGTATGGTTTTTCAAGTCCCTTCCAGAACATAGAACATAACAAGTTATTTCAGACCAAAATGCTGACTTCATAACATTATTTCAGACCAAAACCCTCTCAGTCACCTAGTCTTTTGGCTGACACAACCAGTAAATACCTTAAATTTAGATTCCTCCTCAGGGGACCCTAGCAATACTGGCAGGAAAAAAGTGCTTCCCCAGCCCCCACCATAGCACCATCCCACCTTCTGTCATCCAACCTTCTGTCAGTTGAGCTCTTAGTTACTTCATGTCAAGGAAATTGAAGATAAGTGTCGGCCTAATCAGCCACTACGATTCAAAGCAGACTTTACCCTTACATATCATCAATGGTATATTTAGTAAGCCACAGATACATGTAAGCCTGTCTTTTGAACTAAATGTCAAGAGGTGAATTTACTGTATTTTCTGTCTGTGATTTTTTTTGTGGCTCTTGGATGATGGCCGGTACCACTTACACTACTTATTATTCATCAATATTAATGTCTATGCGCATGATGTGTACCTCTCAGGGTTAAAACTTGACTTGTGTCAAGCCCCCTAGCATGAATTCTGACAGCTTTTAAGGTGTCTTAAAATGTTCCTGACAATTATCGCCAATGTTTCATTCATGAACTGATGACTAATTAAGAGTAACTAGCTATGCATTAAGACAGACTAGGATTGAACAAACAGGCCTAGCAATATTTTACTCACTTTATTTAACACATCTTCACATATTTCCAATCTCGATTATAGCATCAAGAACATTGCCTGTCTTTCTTAAGGTTCTGATAGCAAGATTTCTATCTATGCCAAGCTGCTCAACAATCAAGTCAATGTCTGCCTTCTCTAAGCCTTCTTCACTTTCAGAAATTTCTCCAAATGCTAAAAATAAAGCTTTATCAAATAGCATCTCCTTTATATTATCGCTTGTCACAATCTTACCTTTATGGATAAGTTTTAGCTTTGATTTTGGGATGCTAACAGAATCTGAAATAACTTGTAAAATTGAATCACCATGATTGTCTGATTTTGACACTGTGAGTTCCTGCTTCACTTTGTTGTGTTTAATGACAATTTTAACAGTTTCCTTCTCTGCGACATTTTCAGTTTTGTTGCTTTCCTGTGAAGATGGCAAGCAGATTTGTTGTATTGCATTACTAAGTTTATCAGAGTCAAAAGTTTTTTCTCCACCTTTTTTCCACTCTCCTTCACTAACAGAACTGTTACTGTTTATAACATGAGAGGAACAGTTGGAATATTCGTCAGATATGTCTTCCTTCTTATATAGTTCACCTAAGCCACTGTTATCCACCGAAAAAGACGATTTCCAGAGTAGTGAATTAGAAGGTCGTGTAGAAGGCACAGAAGTTAGAGATGTATTCCTTTCACTGTCCCTGGTATTAAAATCCTGGCAACTTTGCTTGTGGTATGGCCAGTGACATACTTGGCACTTCTTACAACTATATTCACAAACAGTTGATGTTAGTCATCAAATGACAAGTTCTGTTAGGAATCGAAATGATATGAAATAAGATGAACTAATTATAAATCATGACTAACAAGGTCTCTGCCATTCTTGGGCTGTATAAAAAACCCAGCAGATTTGTTAAGACCCATTAACAGCTGTTAATCTGCTAAGATGGTAAGCATTCCGTCGTAAAACATGCAGATTGTTTTATGTAGAATATGTCATGAGCTTATCACAGTTGACATCATTCATAATTTTTGTTGTTTTGGTTTTCAAGGTTTTTTCAGGTTTTTGCAATTTAAACATGTCTGACCAATAATACTTAGTAAGAAACAATATATATCAATGTTACCAATAAAACACTTGTCTGCAGGCGGTACAGAGTTTCATAACTCTTTGTTTACGTCCACAGTTAGCACATAACAAAACTTCCGAATAATCCGCCGCCATCTTGATTGCAGAGCCCGCGCGCTTTTGGTCAGAGGTGACCCACTGTCCGCAGGGAGCGGAGGGAGCGGAGGGTTTCGCCCTGGTTTCTAAGCTCGTTGCTCGGAGGATAAACAACCGCCTTCCCAAAACGGCTGGAAATCGAGCCTAAGGGTTTTCAGGCCAAGCAAAAAAGTGCCACGCAGAATCAGGGTGGCCGGGTTGCCTAGCCGGTGGTAAGAATGGGGAGGCAACGGTGGCCAGGGTTCAAATTTTACTCTGAGGCAGAACAATAATTATTGATAATAATTATTGTTAATATTAGTGTAATACCGTGAATTCCCACGCCTGGTTTTGCCAGCCGATTATAGTACCGATTATATTATTCCTCATTTCTTATGATAAGCCAGTTAGATCATTATTGATCCAACCAGCAGGATCATCGTACACGGTTGCTTGCTTAAACATTTTGTAGCCAGGGTAATGTCGGTAGCAAGGATGATAAGGATGACGAGGGTGGTGAGGGTGGCCAGGATGGCCTGCAACCGGGGGTCACTTGGGTGGCGAGGTAGCTTGGATGCATGGAAAAGGTGACTAGGGTGTAGTCAGGGTTGTGGGGGCAGCGATAGTGGTTAGGTTTGCCAAGATGGTCAGAGCGGCGAGGGTTGGACCGTGGCTAGGGTGGCGAGGGTGCAGTGACGGTGGTCAGGGTGGCCGTAGTTACATATCGGTTTTGTATCTTGTTACTTTTTACAATAATTTTTTTGTTGTGTTTCATCATTTCGCCTTGCTCACAATTCTGGGCCTATTTCGATTTATTGACATTTAAAATAGCTTCAAGGCTTGTGAAATAAATAAATCAGATCGAGGATGGGGAATGAATATATCTATGCTTTTTATGCCCCATGTCTCGCAGTCAAGGTAAACGTGATCACTGCTCGTGCTTGCAAAAACAAACGCACTGCTCGCATGTTTGTAAGTGCTCACTAAGACCATTCGATACCCCTAAGATAGAATTTTATCAGATCAAAATTGGCTTCTTGATAACCTTGGCGCATACCAGATACAGTTTTAGCTGCATAAATGCATGACTGTTATATGGTACTACACGTCTAATAAAACGTTTATTTATCCTCCAACTCCCTCCATCGACCCCGCCCGCACTGCCTAACCTTTGCACTTTGGTTATTACTGACTTAGGGCCTGTTTACATGCAGGGAGGGTGCCCCGGCTAACCGAGCTACCCTGGGAGGGCTAACTTCTGATACGTTTCTTTAGAAAACGCATTGAAGCGTTTCAATGCTAGACAGGGTAGCCCGCCTACCCGGGGCACCGGCACCCTGTCTACTTGCCCGGGGCACCCGGGTAGGTGGGATATCTTTTAACCATGTAAACGGTTCGTGCCGGGCTATCCCGGCTAGCCGAGGTGAGATAACCCCCCACGGGGGGGTACTGTCATATATGGGCTATATAGGTATGTGCCGCTGTGAAGGGTATGGTTTTTAAGCAGTTCACTCTAGGATAGGCCATAAAATGTTTAAGCAAGCAACCGGATAGGGTATATAAATCAGAGCATTTGGGTCTAGAATAGGGTATCATTTTTCACGAAACTGACCAGTTGGTTGAAGAGTTTATCTAGACTATGAAAACCAGGAATTGCCACTCAAAAATATAAAAAAAATCAAATCGGTAAGTTTAAATTTACGCAAATAAGCCTCCACAGTGTCGACAGATAGGGGGATTTGGGGAGTTAACTCTAGTATAGGGTAGCAAAATTCAGCTGAACTAGCTCTGGTTTAGGCTAAGGGTTTCAGGGTCCCAGCGGCACATCCCTACCCAGAAATTCCCAAAGTATCCCCCCCGGGGATAAACCGCAAAAACATGGCGGCGCGAGGTGAATTTTTTTGTAGTTACCATTTGCCAGTGTTATCTGCCGAACAGAATGACGGTCAATCTGAAGAGATCAATGTAGCAGATGAGTCTCAGGCAGAGAACAGGCCCGTGCCCGTGCAAGAAGCTGAAATAAGGTGTCAAATAGTTTCTTTGGTCGGCCATTTTGTTTGTTGTGCTTAGCGGCCGCTCAAAAGATAGCCCACGCAGCCCACTCACTGCCCCGGTTAGGTGAGTTACATGTAAAGGCGGGCTATGTGTCAACCCTTCTAGCCAGGTAGCCTGGTTAGCCGGGGTACCCTCCTTCCCTGTAAACAGGCCCTTACCTAGTAATCAGGTACGTGTGATAGCACTTTGTGCCATATATAGACAATAGCCTCCATTTGGTGCGAAAATGTGCTCGGATATTTGTCCGCGGACATTATTTGTTCCGAGGTGCAAAAAGTTTTTCGAGATCGCGAAGCTCGACGAAAACTGTTAGCTCCGAGGAACAGATAAATGCCCAAGAAAACCAAGGTAATCCCCACACACATATCCATATATTTTTCAAGTCAAACGGAGGCTATTGTGTTTATCATACTTCAAATATTTTTCGCAACACCCAGGATATGAAAATTGAGGAATATCACTCGGATATTCCCCAGTATTCAATCATGTGACGCGTTTAGCAATCGAATGAACAACCTGTGTGCTGACGCTCTGAGACGCGAAGAAACTCGAAGAAGACTGGTGACTGGCCAGTCATGCGCAGATCTATCTCTCACCTTTATTTTGGTTTTCAACTAATTACCAATGGCAGGTTTGACAGACTTTAGCATTGTCGTGGAAGAAATGGGCTAAAAGAATGGGTTGAAAGATAACTATGGTATTACAACGTAGCCTCCGGTGTGTTTGAAGTGTCTTGTTGTATAATTTGACGACTTAGTAATTCGGGGATTTTAATTTGTAGGGTGCCACCGCGTCGCAACTGGAGAAGGAAATCGGTCATGAATTTCCTCAAAATGAACATTATTTTGGTCTGGTAAATGTAAGTACATGCGTGAATTCCTTCAGTCGTGTATGTAAAAAATGGAATTCCTAGTGTAATGCGCTAAGTCATAATTGTTATTGCATCGTTGCAGTTTGGGAATACTTGTTACTGTAACTCCGTGCTGCAAGCGCTATTTTTCTGTCGTCCATTTCGAGAGAGGGTGCTGGGGTACAAACCCCTTTCCAAGAGGAAAGAATCCTTGCTGACTTGTTTGGCTGATCTTTTTGGCAACATCGCTTCTCAAAAGAAGAAAGTTGGTGTTTTGGCACCCAAGAAATTCGTAGCCAGACTTAGAAAGGAGAACGGTAAGTTGATTTACGGAGATCTGCAGTTTAAGGAATCGAAGCTGCAGTATGCAGGCAGAAGTTTATCTAGCCTATAGTTTTGATTGCCCGTTTATATGCAAGCTTATGACCAGATTTATCGAGTCCATGGCTTTGGCCTTTCGTTGAATAAATCTGCTCCTTGTAAAAGTCGATAGATCGGTATATAAATGTGTTCGAAAGATGGCATACAGCGATAGAACTGAACCGAGTGAGTTGAAACTAAGTTTTGTTCCAGGTGCTAATTAATTGAGGATCAGAATTTCTTACCCACCCAAAGCAAGCGGAGTCTTTCGGGGAATTTTTCGTGAAAAGTGAAGAATGTGATTATGTTGTAGTAACTTCCATGAAAATGCTTAGTAAGCACTGTGGGTTAAAATTGAGTTTACTCTGATAATGCATAATTTGCATATATGTGTTGCCCGTTGGTAGAAATCTATTTTACTGTTACAAATGAAACTAAGATGGACAGATGTTTTCCTTTGGAGTAAAAATACACATCAAAAATTTGTAAAAATTCTGAATGTCTAGCAATAAGGATGATGTAATCAATATATTTAAAGTGTATGTCAATTAATGTGCAGTCATCATCATTAATGCTAGTGACTCTATTCATGAATATCAGTTGATGTTGATCATGATGATATCCAAAGGAAAGAGTGATATAGAGATGTTGATGGAATTTGGTGATATTTAATATAATATATTATTCTTCTATGGTAGCAGGGGGATGTCTTAATATTTGTTAATTCTCTTCCAAGTCACAGACCTTCCCACGGTTCTTCTAGCCATTTTGGTTGGCAAACTCAGCAAAAATTACTACATGAAATGTACATGTGAAAGTTGGCCATCTTGTATCTAATTGGGCATGCTTACAAATGTACTTAAATTTCTGGAATTTCTCTGAAGTAATTACATTTTAAATTTGTCTGCAAAACCAAGTAGCAGTTGGTGGGAAAATTATGGAGGGTGAAAATTATATTTCTTACCTCTTGGCCTGGCCATATCCTTCAACTTTGTTTGGTAAAGTATTCTGCGGGGTATATTTACTTACCTTGTTTATAAGAATGTCAAAACATTCATCTTTCTCAGTGGATTTCAATTGCAGCCCTGGTCCTTCTTCAGAGTCTTTTGTCCTCCCTTGTAATGATGGGATACTTTTGTTTTCCATCTTTAAAGCATTACTTGTTTCTTTTAGGTGTTTCCCAACCTTCCTAAGCAATTTTGTTATATTCCATACAAATTCAGCAGAATCAGAAAACAAAATGTTTACTCATTTTCAATGATGTTTAACACTATAGATCAAGACACAATGTTTGAGCTGCAGCCTGGCCATTGCATTGATGTTGATGCTGGAACATTTCATAAATACTTTTTTGGATGTTTTTCAAGTTGTAAAAAAGTCACTTTGATTATTCATGGAATTTAATTCATTCTTTTCACAGAACTTTTTGACAACTACATGCAACAAGATGCACATGAATTCTTAAATTATCTTCTTAATACAATAGCAGACCTGTTACAAGGTACACATGTAAAATTTAATATTTTGTATGTCAACCCCAAACTATCCAATAATTTATTATATTAGGTTTTGTACACTGCATGCAAGTCATGCTACTCTATCACTCTTTGGCAAAGAAAATTTGTCTTGTGTTCCTTATGCAGGGGTTTAGTAATAAGGTTTGAAGAAACTTGCTGCATAACAAAGGAAGGTGGTTTTCCACTGCAGTGGCAGACTTCCACAATCTATTTTGGCTGCAAATACTAGAACTTATTTCATTTTCCTCTGTTCTATGAGTTTTAAAGCTGTAGTGAGTTTACTTTTAAAAAACAATTGTGTTAATTAAGAAAAAGAAACAGTGCGTGATTCTTGTAGTTGTAGTCAAATGATGTCATTGTGTAAATTGCCTGTTGCTACTGAGCAATTATTGCTATTTGTCTACTGCTCCATGAGTTGACTGCTTTACTTTGCCCAGGAAAGACCATACTCTTATTCTCAACATCTCAGAACTAGCTTTTAATGGGGGCCTGTGTAGGGACATATCCAGAAGTGTAGCAGCTCTCATAAGCTTGTTATTCTATTTGTCATCATAGTGTATAGCTGTTATTGTTTTAGGGCTAGGTGCATTGTTTCTGTTGTTTGTTCTATTGTTCTCTCAAAGGCTATCAAGCCATTCATGTGACACCTTACGAGAGCTGCTACATCACCCAACATATCAGTGATAAGGAGTTAATGGTTGCATTTGAAAAGACCAGGTTTGAGCCCTGGCTAGGGTCATTGCATTGTGTTCTTGGGCAAAACACCTTTTACTCTCACAATGCCTTGCTACCCACAGGTGTATATTAAATGAGTACCTAAGTGTAAATTTAATATAAATTTAAGGTGTGGTGGGGGGGATGGTAACCTTGCGATGGACTGACTTATGCTAAACTTTCAATTGAAGGAGAAAAAGCAAAGGAGAAAGAAAAAGATAAACATAGCAGCACTAGCAGTGTCAGCAGTAAAAGCAGCATCTCTTCTGCGGGAACAACAAACGGAGGATCACAGCAAAACTCCAAAACAGAGCCTACATGGGTTCATGATATCTTTGAAGGAATTCTTACAAATGAAACAAGATGTCTCTGCTGTGAAACAGTAAGTTAACTTGAACATCCAAACTGAATGCTATTGGAGACAGATGTAGTTTTCTGGAATGATAGTTTGAAATTGTCATGCTTTCATAGCTTCATGAGGATAATTTTTCCATTTTGTATGTACAGGGGTACGTTGTGAGTAAGTTTGCTTTTTAAGTTCAAGTTTCCAACTGTTTCATATTCATAAAGTATAATTGAAGCAGAGGAAAATTCAAACTGATTTAAAAATTTGGAACAAAGAACAAAATTTAAACCATGATATGAACAATGTACAAAAATGTACATCGTGTTGTGTGGTGCTACTCTGGTTGAAACCGACTGGGAATGTTGAGTTATTTAGCTGTGAACCGTCTATTAAATTATTTTCATATACACTGTAGTAGGTTATTAAATATTAACCAAACATAATTCCTTTTGTTGAAGTAAATAATTATTGTTTTCATTAATAATAACTTTTTTTAGGTAAGTAGCAAGGATGAATCATTTCTGGATCTTTCGGTGGATGTCGAACAAAATACGTCAATAACACATTGTCTCAAGTGAGTAACTGTATAACTATTAAATTAATCGTATCTATAACAAACTTCTCGATCATGATTGGTTCTGCGCACGTCTCGTAATTTCAAATCAGCTTGGCACTTGTCTGATTTTGACATTTTTCAGGCCAGTGCTGCCTGAATATTTGTACTCGACTTGGTCCAATTACTAATAACTAATTTGTACTCTTGGTAAATTCTGTTCTGTTCATTGTTAACTGAGCAATAGCTAAAATCAGCTGATCAGATTGCCGTTTACTGGCCAATGTCTTCTGGGTAAATTTTCTACAGCTCAAAAGTTGTATCATATTAAGACCAAATCCGATAGAAAATCAAGCAATTTCAGGTTTTAGTGGACAAACATCTGGTACCAGAATAATTTTAAGTATTTTACAGTCATTTTTACATTTTCTTGAAGCTAAATACATAAATAATTGCCCAGGGAATAACACCGAAAACAATTTCCCATGGGAACGAGAGAAAATAAATTTCAAAGTTCAGGGCACTTTTGCAAACACAGGCAAAATTCCATCATCAGTTTCATTTTACCAGTACTTTCAAGTATTTCATACGAAGGTCAACATTCGTTTTCAACATTTGGTGTTGCTAGAAATGATTTTTTTTTTTTTAAGAAGATATTTAAAACAGTCGCACAGAAGTTTGCAATGCAATGTAAAATTATAATCTTGGTACTAGGTTTTTGTCCATTTGTTACTGGAATTTCTGGTGGATTCTGTCTCACTGCCCAGAGATGATATTTCTTGCCATTATGACTACTTTATTCTGGCCCCAACTTGTAAGCTCAGTCACTATTTGTCTTATTCAAAGAACCCCCTTAGTACAGCTACTCTGTTAATTAATACTTGTAACTAGATTTCTGTGGCCTACATGTATTGATGACAGATTAACAGGGTTCCACTGTACTCCACCCAATCCAGATACTTATTTCATTTGATTTGCACTGAACTTTCTTTTGTTTTGTTCTTAACCAGAGGCTTCTCATCAACTGAGACACTTTGCAGTGAACACAAATACTTCTGTGAAACATGCTGTAGTAAGCAAGAGGCACAAAAAAGGTATTTTACAGTTGCCTTGCTCTTAAAATTGTACAGGAACAAGCCCTACATTATGCTTAAATTAATTACTTCTGGGAGCTGCAAATCATTAAAAAAAAGTTTTACCTTTCATCCTTTGCCAGTATCACTATGTACATTACTGGTACATGTAGGTTATATAACATTACTGTAAATGCTGTCTCTGAGGTGTATTGGGGCCCCACATTTGGTTTTGTAAGTTAGAGACTTCATTTAAGTTGTCAGGGTACAAAAAGTTATTGACACATAACCGTGCGTCAGCCATGCTGAGAGTTTCTATAAAGATGGCAAGAGACATGTTGGCCTACTCATGATCAGGCAAGATGCTTCTTTTCTTCCACCCAGGACTGAAGTATAGTTCTCAGCATTGGTGAACTGGAAAATCATGTTCATGTATTTGTTATACCCATTTCTCCTTCAGAATGAGAGTGAAGAAACTACCAAAGATTCTAGCACTTCACTTGAAGAGGTTTAAATACATGGAACAGCTGCAGAGATATGCAAAGCTATCCTACCGAGTAGTGTTTCCCTTTGAACTAAGGCTCTTTAACACAGTAAGTACAAGTAGCTCCACTTGCACAAGTTAATATTTCTTTGCATCAATAAATGTATTAATGGGTGATTCCAGAAAACATCCATATGTATACCATGGGTGACTTTTTGGAATTCTGAGGGCAAGGGAGGGTTCTTTGAACTGGAAATCCAAAGGCATGGGGATACTTACGATTGGAGATCCAAGGGCATGGGGGGGGGGGGGGGNGCAAGGAGGCTCTTTCAACTAGAAATCCAACGGCCTGGGGGTGCTTACGATTAGAATTCTGAGTACATGAGGGGGTTGCTAGAGGAGACAGACAAGAGTGTGAAAGCACAAACGAACTGACAACACTGTTAACTAATGCGGAAAGCAAGATACAAGACAAGCATTGATCGATCATGCATGTGTTCATGTTCATTTACAGACAGAAAACTATAAAATCTGGGTTGTACATTTGGCTCCAGAGACCTTAAGGTTGATGAATTTCTTGTCAGAAAATCGTTTGTGACAAACCCTGACCCGCCATGTTTGTTTACTATGTACCAGCGATACATATTCATAAGGAAACTTCTCAAATAGCATCTGAACAAGTGAATAGTATTTGTATTATCAAAGGTAAATTAGGCAGGATTTGCCAATGTATGTTCTAATTTCCATAGTAATTAACACACAAAACAATTGAAATTTTTGTTCCTTCTGTTCACTAGTTAAGTCGAAAACTAGTTGCAAAGTTGCGACTGAATTGGAGGAAGTTTTAGTCATTTAGTCAAGAATGCATGTGATCGTAATAGTCATAATTTGAAACCCTGTAGACAGTTGGTAAACTTCTGGGAAGATGTAAAAGTGTCAAATCACTTTCATTGGAAGTCTTTGGGAGTCAAACTTGGATTCCAGATGGTTGAAGTAAAAAATGGAAATCCAGAAGGGAGGGGGCAGGTTAGTGATTTTGGAATTTGGAGGGCATGGGAGATAGAGTATTTTGAAATTTCCGAAGGCAAGGGGGTGTTAAAATTTTCATGCTGCCCGTGGTAGGATATGGATATTTTCTGGAATCACCAAATTCATACAAGCGAAGATAAATTCTTTAGATTAATATCTACAAAATTGGCCACAAGTCCTTGGGACACTTGACAAAGTGACAACTGGTGATGCATGATTTGAAGTGGGAAGTCATTATATAATTTGCCGAACCCCACTTCCCCCAAAAACAATGTTGGAATAGAGGGTCTCTGTTGGATGAATCAACATCAACATTGTGTTGGCAGGGTCCGAAATTAACTTTTTTAGGCAGGCGCCAACTGGCAACTGAAATTTTTTTTTCAGTCACCATATGGAAAAATTTGGTCGCCAAAAAGTGTCAATAAAATTTTCCTTCGCAGCGAAACACAAACCAAAATTTTTGGTTGCCAGATGGAAAATTCTGCTCGCCAATTTTTTCTTTTAAGAATCGGAATGAGGAGAACGCGTTTGGCGTCGCAATGATGGCAATTTTTCCGTTAACGATAAGATTAAATACAAACACGCTGATTATTTATACACCTTCCACTGAAAACCCACAACGAACGAATCGAATGCTGGGCATATACGCAGTTTCGTGCGACAGCCAAATGTTTCAAGTCAATTTTATACCTTCTCTTGTCTCTACCTTTTGGAGAAGAAATGTACCCGACTGAAAACTGCCGTTTGGTTCTTTGCTCTATGTGCAAAATGATCTTTCCTTTCGCGTTTTGTCAAGACAATCGACGGATCACCATGTTGAATATTGAAATCTTCCACTAATTTCTTCGCGGATGTTCCGTCTCCACTTTGTAATAAATTACGGAAAGATTTTAGGACATCTTTGGACACCACATCGCCTGAATAAATATTCATGACGAAAGAATGCACGTGGCCTTCTGCGCCCGCAATACGTATGTAATGGGAAACCGCTGGAGAAACATGGCAGCAAAGCTTCGCACTGATCGTAGCTGTGAAACGTTGTGGTAGAGTTATAATAACAGGAAAATCGGTTTTATACTTCAAAAGCAGCAGAAAGGTTAAAAGTAAGTGACCAATTGGTGGGCGACTTTGAATTTTATTTTAATCAATTTGGCTGAAAATCTAAGTTAGTGTAATTATTGTGGCTTGAAATAGTTAATCGCCCGCTGGCGACCAGCTGTGAAATTCTGGTCGCCAGTGCAAAATTTTTAGTCGCATTGGCGACCAGGAAAGCGCAATTTTGGACCCCGGTTGGGGGTGTGGAGGTGGAGGTGGACAGAAAGACCATAATTTTTATGTTGGCAAAAGTACAAAGTGTCCCTGGCCAAGACTTTGACCAGGATTGTAGTCTATCTGTCCCAAGGTAGATATTTTTGCGTGATATCAACCTACGAGTACTAGTCAAACAAATAAACTGAAACAAGTCATTTGTAACATTCTGTAACTTTGACAAGTGTGGTGTGATCAAATAAAATTCACTGCATAGTTGTACATGTGAAACATTAAACCTGGTTCACACTTGTGAAGTAAGCATAAGAACAAGAAAAAGAAAGTAACATTTCCCTTTTTCTGGTGCTTGCGCATTTGGTTTTTTCACTTAGTGTTTGCGTATTTCACAAATGGTAACTGGGGTAAAATAAGCACAAGCAAAGGCACAAGAATTCAACCAAACTCCATCTTTCTTCTTTAGCGATGTAGCTGACAATATCAATCCAAAAAGTGAGGCAGTGCAAATAAGATTGGCTTTCACCAAACTTCTGATGATGTAAATATTGTCTTGAAACACACCACATACAGGAGTTCATTACTGAAGTTGCTGTTTTTTGCAAGAAATATATTTTAACTTGTTAATAAGTGTTTCTTTTTCTGTTTTTGGCATTAACCAGGTACAAGGTGTTTTCTTCTTTTTTATAAATTTATTTTGGTTACTTGTTTTTTCCAGTCTGATGATGCAATTAATCATGAAAAACTTTATGACCTGGTTGCTGTTGTCATACATTGTGGCAGGTAAACAGTGTACATCATTTAACATTTTAAATACATCATAATGAATATTTTTATTTATTTAGCAGTATCCTTATTTGTTTTAAGAAACACCTGAAACAGTTATCATTAATATATGACAGAGCTTGGAAATAGTAATTATGAATTCTTCAGACCAGTTTCCTAAACTGTGAAAAAGTAATTGACAAATGTAGAGGATATGTACTCCTTGCCCTAAAGTTAAGAGTAATGAAATACATGCTACATGGAAAAAGAGAAGAGCAAGCCCAATAGTGTGGCCTTTTTTATCTAAAGTAAAATATTCTTGAACCTATCAAAAATATCATGAAGATATCATGAAGACTTCACATCGTGCAATAAGATCAGTGACCCTTGCTGTCTGTCCATCTCTCAGTCCATTTGGTTTTATCAACTGGGTTGATAATGTAAATTGGCCACCGTTAAGAGATTTGAATCTCTTTACAGTGGCCAATTTACATTATCAACCCAGTTGATAAAACCAAATTATCTTGTTATACTCCCCACCGACACAGCACCACAGTTTCTTTAGAAACTTACTCTCTCTATTCATCTCTCAGTCTGCTGGAAGATCAAAGCAAACTCTGCTTCTGGGTGTTTGTTTGTCTGTTTGTCTGTCTCTGTGTGTGTCTGTCTCTTTTGGGCAATTTTTGTGATGTATTTTGCTTAATTTGTGTTCTTTTAGTGGACCAAACAGGGGTCACTATATCACAATAGTGAAAAGTCATGGTCTTTGGCTTCTCTTTGATGATGATATTGTAGAGGTTAGTGTAGTAGTCATATTGAAATACTTGTAACCCAACAGTAACAGTGTAGGCTTAAAAAACCTTCGTTAAGTCAGTTAGCAAGTTTTCACCAAACTTTTTTATTTTGAAATTTGTATGTGACAAATTCTTATTTATGGGACCATTTGTTGTATGCAGCGAGTTGCTTATCACTGGAAACCACATTTTGATTGGCATTTTACCTCAATTTGAAATTTTCTGCTGACTTAACAACTAATAAAAGCAGCAAAATTTTATTTGGTCAAAGCAAAATAATGTTTAGCTTTCAGTTCAATTACGTTGTTTAAGCAATCAATTTGATGGTATGCAATATTCCTCACTCTGTGCCAAGACGTCATTTACTTTGTTTTTCACATTTTCTTTTTTTTTTTTTTTTTTTTCAGAAAATTGAAGCTCAAGCGATAGAAGAATTCTATGGCTTGACATCAGAAATCCAGAAGTCGTCAGAATCAGGCTACATCCTTTTCTATGAAGCAAGGGGATAGAATTAAATGACGAAAAACTCTGATAATAATTTATAAGGGGCACTGAAAGATACTCAGAGGACTTACAAAATATCCATGTTTTAAATGTATATTCACGTTGGATTTATTTTGTTGCTTTCTCAAGAAGCCCATGGGAGACTTTCATGTGCAAGGGTCGGGATGCTTGACATCTTGTTTAGGAGTGTACATTGAATATTTTAGTATCATTAAGGGTATCCAGTTCAGTATTTTTAGCCCTCAAAGTATTGTTTAGGGCTGTATGTGCAAAATGCCATCACGTTGTGCTGATCGTCTAGACCAATCAGGTGTGAATTTGTTTTTACAATAAAATTATGGTATCTCGTAGGGGTCAAATACAGCTTGAACCACACCCAGATTGGTCTCTTTTAGGATTCTACGTCAAACATCCTAAGCCTTCAGACGAGAGTCCCTCCCCCTCCCCTCTCCCCCTGGCCAGGGGAAGAAGATCTTGTGGCAGGTTACTGTAAATGATTACTATGTTAGGCCTCAATGTGGCTGTTGAAAAGAAATTACATGTACAATGTAGCTGTTTTACTTCAAAATGCATTCAGTTGACCTGCAATGCTAAAATGTACATTTCTCATTTCGTAGTTTTGAACGAGTAGTCTTGTTAATCTCTTGGTATTTAATTTTGTATTATTTTGTTGTTAAATATTTTGATTAAGTCTGCGCTGCTAATAAAGTATATCCTTGTCATCTACAGTTTGTATTGTATATCGTCAACCTAATGAAAAGCTGTGTAAATGCCTCCAGTTGTCTCGACATACTGTTTCTCCCACCTCGTCCCTAGAACGCCATTGCGTTTCGTCAGTGAGGAGCGGGAATAGGGAGTGCGTTGCTTGATGGTTAGAGGGACGCCTGGAGACGAGGCCGTCTTTTTTCTTCTTCCAAGACGACAGCTGATCGACAGTTCCTTCACTCCGCAATGTCGATCTTTTGTTCCTTTGTTCGTTTGTCCATTCATTCATTCATTCATTCATTCATTCATTCATTCATTCATTCATTCATTCATTCATTCATTCATTCATTCATTCATTCATTCATTCATTCATTCATTCATTCATTTATCCATTTGCTGCTGATTGTTTACCTTGAATGATACTCCTCTCACGAAAGACGGCTTCGGTTTGTGTTCAAATTCGATTCAATCAATCAATTGTCCGATCAGAATTTGGGTGCAAGTCGCAATGACTTGGAGTAACGCTTACTTTATTGAGAATAGTAATTGGACCCAGTGGAGTACAATTTAGGGGGTAATCGCGCGAGTAATTTCAAAATCAGACGAGCGCGAAGCGCAAGGCCGATTTGAAACTACGAGCAAGATTACTCCCTAAATTGAACGACACGAGGTCCAGTTACTAATTAATCTTACTTATAACAAATTTCGAAATTAAAAAGTCTTTGGAGAAGTTCTTTTTAACGAAAAGATCAGTAGCGTTTAACATAAGTTTTGAAACTGTTGGAAACATTAAGAAGGAAGCTATTAAAGCTCGTGTAACTGACGTGCGAATCACGTGGGTATCCAATTATAGGTATCCAATCATAAAAAGTTCAAATTGAATACCTGTAATTGGACACCCACGTGATCGCGCTCTGATTACGTGACAAATAGGCGCGCGGAGAACCAATCACGATCGAGATTGTCGTATAGATACGCTACATGAGTATTGCAATGAATATCAAGACAATTAACTAAAAGTAGCTGGAATATTTCGAAAAGGTCGCCATTGTCCTATGACCACTGACGATCGCTTGCTTGTTGCCCTGCAGGCGACTCAATTCAGGCCGTCTCAATACAGTAAACGAATTACATACAAAAAAGCTTCATTTTATTACATTCACAAATTTTCTTTCTTCAACATTTGCAGCGTTGTCAACGATGAGGACGTGTCTGTAAAAATGTGTCAATTTACACAACAAAATAAGCAGAAAGAAACAGACTTGTCCAATCAAATTATTAAAAGAGAGTTGATCATACATTAAAGGAAATTCGTAGTGAAGTTGCCTGAAATAGAAAATAAGAAAGGAAATGTTTAGAAAATAACGCAATATTAAATTTGTCACACCCCGTTAACTTAGCATAATGCCTAGGAACAAGTTACCCTTAGTGACGTCATAAAGTATCCCGCCAAATAGAGAGTGAGAGGGAGAGAACTGGGTACAAAGCTCGCTCAGAGGTAGGTGTTCAGTGTCGCAACGCAAAGATGACGCATTTGTCGCGCTCTAGTGTTCCTAGCAAAGTCTCTTACAATTTCAAGGTAATTTTTAAAAATCGCAACAACAACAACAAAAAAGTCTAGACGTATCGCAACCAGCTCCCTGGCCAGAGGTCTTGACGACTGCATAATATTTATTTTGCCAATTATCGACCAGATCTACCAGGCACGTGAATCCGGCACTTACCCATGAGTAATACGTGTGCAGTATCAATTCCAGGGCGGTACTCTGATGAACTGCTGGCACTCGTGCTGGCGCCTGCAGTCACTGAAGTTTGGGGTTTCTGAATGTAAATCTCGCCATCGATCAAATACACGTCCTTGGCTATGTCGTAATTGCTAAAAAATAAATTCGAAGAAACAAATATTGCGTCACAATATATTGATTTCTTATCTGATAATTATCGTCTAACTCATGCAATGTTAAATCTGGTGATTAAACCAACATAGCTATGGTTTGTTTGTTTCTCGGTGTTTTTGAGGAACTAAGACTAATTACTTTCCCGCCAAAGCCAACACAAAGCGCACCTTGGTGGATTGAAGCAGGGAGGGCCTCCTGTTTTCTTCCAATGCTTCTCACAATAATAACACTGGCATCCCAATCTTGGATTTTCCTCGTGATCAAGAGTAGAGGGACCACAAAGTACATTTCTGACAAACTCTATGTCCAATGGAAAAGAACTTTTCTGATTGTTCTCTTTGAGCAACACTGCGTCCATCTGAATGACCTGAAAGTTAAATAAGTAAAGCATTTCAAGTTTTGTCGTTCATAAGCCCCGGTGCCCAACTTTCTTTACCATGTTGCGGCCGGGAAAAATCGCTATTTCCTTGGATGCATAGCCCTTCAGCCGCCCCTACAGGGTACTTCACATCTTTAACAACAAAGTATCTTGTCTAAGAAGTAAAGTATCCCTCAGAAGACGTAAAATATCTTGTCTTAAGGATAAAGTATCTTGCCCCAGAACGCAACACAGTAAACCCGGCAGGACTCGAAAACAGTTCACCACTAAGATGACAGACATAAAGCCAAATTTCTCGGGCTATAAGCCGTTCACTTTGAAACGGTCTTGTGTATTGTGGGTAATAGAATAGTACAAGGGCTGTGGACTGTTTTGTGGGGATTCTAGTTCTAGGTTGGTGCAAATGCTAGGTTTCTGCTTTTCTTTATATTAATCAACACGTGACTATTCTATTTCAATAGCCGGTTCGTTTTTGAATACTTACACCTCTCTTATATTTGTTTCTCTCATTCAGGTCTCGTGTTCTTTCATCAGGGTTGAAAGTTGAAGCAAAGATTTTTATGACGTCCTCAAACGAGGGGTTACTCAATTCGTCCACCAATTCGTTTACGACCTTACGTCGTTCCTTGGTCTTTTGTTCAGTCTTTGGATCAGTAGGCTTTGGTAAAATCACTGACTTTGCAAAGGCGACTTGCTGTGAGAGAGGAGCATGGGATCGAATGGTTGAATCAGCCGGATGTGACAGCGCCTTATGGATGACGCGGCGACGCAAAGCAGATTTCCTGTCTCGCTTGCTGTCCAGTTGCTCGTTCATTATGAGTGACTAAACAAAATAAAGTGATTAGAAAGGAAAAGCTTGAGAATGAGGTGCTCACAGGCTTGAGTGAAGAAATATATTGGCCGTATCTACTTACAACATTTTCACGCCATTTTAGCTCACTGTCTTAACCATACCACTGAAATCTTTGCAAATTATTCTCTTATTTGCTTTCACCATCTCCTATCTCTTAATAAACTTTTTCCATGTTGATTAATTAAAAGCAGATTCTGAAAACTTCTCCACCCTCCACTATTCAATCGATTTTCCTGTCCTTGGACTGAAAAAATGGTCTTTGTTATAGAAATAAATATGAGAATATTACTTAAACTGATTACTTAATTTATTATGTCCTCGCTCTCCGTTAAATTTTCAGGCCGCAAATACTTCTCTCCCTCCCCAAGAGAACATTGAGCCTGGCTAAAGTTTCCATCATTTTCCTCACACTTGAACCATTTGTTGTGAAAAGTTTACCTTTGCCAGTTTTATATTCTCTGCCATGGACGTCTTTGTCTCCTTCGTTTGCTGCTTAATCACCTTTCTCTTTTCTTTGCTCTTATCCACCATGTGTTTATTCCCAATCATAATTTTGTCCAGAGCCTTGTGAAGGTCACCGTGGAAACCACTAGAATGTTGCCTGGATGTAAGATGCTTGATAAAACGCCGATTCTCTAAAGACTTCCGTCCGCCAATCACCGACTTTCCTGAAAGAAAATCAAACTTAAGATGTAACTAAATACCGCAGCACAGATCGTCAACAGCATAAAATACCAAGGTCCACGGTATCAGATCCAGATAAAGGTGTGTTTTGCGGGTTCATTGAATTGCACTCGTTTCCCCGATTTTTCTTCAGAAAGGTGCCAGGAAACAAGAGTCTGCATGACGTCATCCTAAATAGCAGTTCAGTAGTTCCAGCATAAATTTTAATGTGAGGCTACCAGTTATGAAAGTTGTACAACTTAACATAATGAATAATAAACAATACTACTTTGATCCTCTTCTAAAGATGTCTCTTCCTGCGATTCCATTAAATCAAATGACTATAGTTTTTTATCGTTCTGTTCGTTCTACGATCAGCTTTCTTCTTAGCTACACTATATTGTTAGTATATATGTTTACCTTGACGCAGTTCCATGGTAGCGGATGGAGGCTGGGTTAGTGGAGGGGGCAATGGTGGCTTGCCTACAAATCATAGCATACAAATACAATCAATTTTGTTCTGTTTAAATGATTTATGATTTGAATATGGCCCCACCGTTTCCCCTTGAAAAATTTTTTTGGCGTTCTCAAAACCTTCTTATAAATATTTTCCTCGATAATAAGTAAAGCAATATATTTTACAGTCCAGCAGTGTTGCTCAATCCCGCTATCTCTGTTTAGAATTGAAATTGACATTTTAATGTAAATATCTCCAGGCCATTTGGATATCAGTTTTATTAATGGATATTAACGTATTTTCAGACCTTTTCACCCCTGAATTCTTTGTTTTAGAATACAATACCACGAGTTTAAATTTTCTTCGATCTATTATTGTGAAGGAGACGTCTGCAGGGGTCATTAGAATGGATTATGACAAATTGCTTACCTTCGTCAGAAAGGTCTTTCATAGCCATGTCATCGTTATCACATTGTGCTCCTTCATCATCATTCGTGTTCATAACTTCACTACACGGTCCTTGTTTTACATCAATGTCAACCTTCGTCTCCGTTGTTGATTCTCCTCTCACGTAGATCATTTCCGCGGACGAGGACTCGTTTTCCGAAATCAACAACGGCGACTTCAACTCGTCATCTTCCATTGATATCATGACGTCACTGGATGGAGCAACTGGTGTCTTACAGGATTCTGTCGAAGAGTTCGTGGTACCTGTTTCCAAGGCAACGGCGTTCGTTCGTTCTTTAGAATCCTTGGAAGAGCTGAGTAAGTCCATGGGAGGAGTCGGCAATGAAAGGACAGTTGCCGAGGTAACTGTCACAATCGTAGATTTAGCTACAGTTGGTGTTGATCCGGTTTCATCTGGAAGCGTCAAATCGTCAGCAGTTTCCAATGGTGGTGTGGAAGGCGGCGTCTTTGGTTCCTTGGAAGATGTCAACATGTCTGACTCTGATGTAGTTAAGTTAGGAGGAGTAGAGATAGATTCTACAGAACATGATTTGACGGGGGTGGAGTGGGGCGTTTCGTTGGACGAGCAGACCGGTGGCTCGGACGTGGCAGAAGTCGAGGATAATGATGGCGGAAGCGTAGAATCGGACCCCTCAATTTTTATCCAAACCTCTCCGCTAGGGATGCCTGTGGCTGTGCCTATGGGTGTTGAATGAATACCTTCCTCGGTTTCTACATGAAGTGTCCTGGATGTTGGCGCACCTGTGCCATTCTCCCTGGTTTGGATGTCCAGCGACGTTTCTCTTGGGTTTTTAGAAGATGACTGAGATGTTTGTTTTGATGTTTTTTTCTTCTTTCCTGAGGCTTTCTTCTCAAAGATGATTTCCTCATTGCTGTCCTCTTTGCTCAACTGGTCCGCAGGTAATGACGTCATTGTCCCCTCCTCCAGATCACCTCGTTTCCGTGCTGAGCGCTTCTTGCATTTCTTCCTATTTAGAATTTAAACAAAGTGAATTAGAAATACATAACTATTTTGACTGGATGTTTTCCAAATTGGTTGTAGCTGAGTCCCAGGAAAGCCAAGCAGTGATCGCAGTCGTCGAGTGCGATTCATAGCTACGTGATTTGACATGTCCTGCAGGTAAAACTGTTTTCTATAACCGAATAATGCATGTAATAAAATAATGTCACGTGACACTTCCCAAAGTTATTACTGTGCTTCCTAAGCGAAAATTACTTGGAACCACAGGCGATCCGTTCGTGAGTCTAGAGAATGCGCAGAAACGAGCCGGTTGTGCATTATCATTTGATGTTTTTTTGGATAATGTTGATGTAAGCTAGTACAATTTCTCAAATTGACTTTTCACATTTGAACTTCCGGATGCAACCGCCACCGGAAGTAAAAGAGAGATAAGATCAACGTCCGCGGGCTATAAAGTCTTCTGCTGATGCTTTGAACGAGTCCCTTAATGGGTTGAAGACAATAATTATATAGCTATGGCTCACCACAGTTGTATGAAGCAAGTCACGATGGCCATTAACATAAAAATCCCTCCAATGATTCCTCCAACGATGATGGGTGATCCCGAGTCCGCTGGATCTTTAGTTGTGGAATCAGATTTGTGTTTCTTTTTCTTTTTGAAATGCTTGTCTTTCCCATTGTCACTCGTGTCTCTACGTTCCAAAGCCACATGCCACCGAAGCCCTGAGGATGCACTGATTTTAGGATGGACATTCCTATTAACGTCCGGTATGGTAGATGTGCCATGTTGTGAAGATCGTTCTTGTCCTGATACACTCGGCTGATCATGGGGGAAAGGACTTTCTCTGTTATTTTCTGAGGAGCCTTTCTTTGTAGTCTCCTGTGCAGTGTCTTCTGGGGTCGCTTGTGGATCGACAGAAGATGATGACTCAGGAGTTCCTAGAGTCAGTTTAGGATTAGGTTCTCCAGGGCCTGATTGACCAGATAAAAAATAGTTTGGCGGCTCATAAGAATTCAGATTTAGATTCAAGTCAGATTTTCCAGAATTTAATTTGCCAGGGTCACCAGTTGCCCACTGAGTTGCAGGCAGATTCAGTTTCATTTCTGCTTCCTTAGAATATGATTTGGTAGATTCAGCACCTGCCCACTGACTTCTAGGTAGATTCGCATTCATTTCTGCTTTCTCAAAGTCTGATTTGGCAGATTCAGCAGTTGTCGGCTGAGTGGCAGACAGACTCGTATTCATTTCTGCTCTTTCAGAATATGATGAGGCAGATTCAGAAGTTGTCGACTGAGTTGCAGGCAGATCCATATTCATTTCTGCTTTCTTGGAATATAATTTGGAAGATTCAGCGATTGCCGACAGAGTGGTAGCAAAGTCTAGATTCACATCAGGTTTTTCAAAATCTGACTTCGCAGATTCAGTAGTTTTTGACTCAGCATTATGCAGATTCAGTTCCGCTTCAGTTTCTGCAGAATCTGATTTGAGATATTCTGCAGGGTTTGTTTGTCTTACAGAGGTTGGCGCATCCATCAGTTGATTGATTAACTTCGGTGTAGGTCTGGATCTAGTCACATATGGTACATCCGTGACTGATGTCGGTCGCGTACTTTGCAACACAGAGGTTGCCATACTTTCCAATCCCCCGTATGACGGTTCGGATGTCGCCTCCGTATCTCTGTCAATGGAATGTTGACTTGCTTCTGACGAGGAACCGTCAAAGACTGTCCCTGTGTCCCAGCTGGTTTCCGATTTATAACTGGGATCCCTGTTCTTTTGCTTCCAAAGCATAGCCATCTCCAACAGCTTGTTTTTATCTTCTGTTGGGGTTTCCTGTGGGTTTTGAGCCGCAGTCTTCTCTGCTTGCTTTAAAGCTGTATCCTTTCCTCGTTCAAGAGCCTGTTTTACGAGGAAAGAAACGTCCATATCACCTTGAGATGTTCTTGAGTTCTCAGGCGATTCCAAATCGTTACTTCTCCTCACGGCTCTTCTCATAATAAGCTTTGTCATAGAAAGCTTCTTGTTTTTCTTGCGCCAATCATTTGTTCTTAACTTCACGGGCTTGAAAACCTCGTCTGTTGTTGGCGCAGATTTTTGGTCATCTTCAGATCCATCCGTCTTCTTCTGGTTATTCACCGATGATGATTTAAAAGAGAAGTCAGACTCGGGTGGACTGAAGGACGGAGTTAAATTAACGTCCGTTATTTTGTCTCTAGACGGACGCTGGGCAGAGGGATTGTTGGACCCTGCAGAAGTCAGCGCATCCAGAGAATTCTCGGTTGATGATTCCTGAGAATTATATGAAGGTGTTCCTGAAACTTGGAAGAGCGCGAAACTGTTATGACATGTTACGACGTCAACTAAAACGTCATATGCACGCATGACATTGGACGCGCTTTGCAAGCAATATTTCAAAGCTTTTTTTCACCCGAAAACGTTTATTCCCTTCACTGTGTTATCAAGCAGAAGATCTGAACAACTTGTATCTCCGAGTGCTTTGACGTTAAATCATAATTAATAAAGAATCGTATTTGTTTTATCGCAGGACGCAAGTAAGTGAGAATAAAAACGCGAATCAAGAAACTGCACCTTTTAGGATTAACCTTCAGCGGAAGAAAACGTCAAAATCGGGCAGATAATTTTTTAATTAGTGTCACTTGATCTAGTTTCGCTGATGCATACAAAATTTGCCAGTAAAAGCATGATTTGAATTTGCCACATCGTTTGAAACAAAACGCAGGCCGCAGTACTAAGCGCTAATTTTTTTCGACTTGATTTCTTTAAAATTATTACCATTTTAAAACTAAACCAAAGCAAATGTTTCCCTTACCTTCGCAAATACTGTGAAGCATCAAAAGATAAAGTAGAATTCCGATAAAAGCTTTTTTCTTCTTCATGATAAACGCTGTGTTAACCATAGGATAAACGCAACATCTCACAGTGAAAAATGAGCAACATTTCGTCATAAACGTTGATTTCAGTATGACGTCCAGGTGCGCGCGCTACGTGACAGGACTGAGGTAGCGCAACGTGTTAGGTAACAGTGGCAGAAAGTATTTTTATTTATTTATTTAAAAGAAGAAGACAGAAGATCTATCTGAGACAGTCAAATAATTGACTCATTAAAAAACCAAAACCAAAGTAATCACACTAGGCTCTCACAAAGGACACAGACAGTCCAATAGATCGTTTTCACTGTCACGCAATAAAAAAATAAATCGAAAACCATCCAGTGGAAAAAGCTATGAAATTATGATGTTATAGAAGATAACTAAAT